AAGATATCATTACAAAATGAACAAATCTGAGAGAGGTCCACATGTAGTACCTATATATGTAATATCAAAGCATTTGCACTTGCGGTTTTTAACAAGAAGTCGAAAATATCAGTTTTTACCAAAAATGACAAAAATATTCACCAAAATTAGAGAATTGAAGATATCATCACGAAATGAACAAATCTGAGAGAGGTCCACATGTAGTACCTATATATGTAGTATCAAAGCAATTGGACTTGCGGTTTTTAACAGGAAGTCGAAAATATCAGTTTTTACCAAAAATGACAAAAATATTCACCAAAATTAAAGAATTAAAGATATCATTACAAAATTAACAAATCTGAGAGAGGTCCACATGTAGTACCTATAGATGTAATATCAAAGCAATTGCACTTGCGGTTTTTAACAAGAAGTCGAAAATATCAGTTTTTACCAAAAATGACAAAAATATTCACCAAAATTAGAGAATTAAAGATATCAACATGAAATGAACAAACCTAAGAGAGGTCTACCCAAGGTACATATACACCAAGTATCAAAGCATTTAGGCTTGTAGTTTTCAAGAAGAAGTTGAAAAAGTAAAACATTGACACGGACGACGACGACGGACAATCACTCATATGATAAGCTCCGCTCGACAAAGTCGACAGCGGAGCTAAAAACTTCCTACAGCACACATGTGAGATGGTTCAATGATAAAATGAAATTATCAACTACCAATACGCACTGGCTATTTCAGTACGTACAAAAGCAATCACTACATATGCGCATTTCTCATCTAACGAATAATATTGAGTGGCTAATTGAATCATTTTTATTCAATGCACGACTGATGATGAATTTCATTACTATTTTAGATGCATGGACAACCACAATCAGTAAAAGTGAAAACCGGTAAGCCTCAATCAGTTCATCGGCACTTGTAACTGTCCTTGTAATTTCCTTGAGTAATAGATAATGTGATGCCCTACAAGTCACAACATTTGATAATGCAAGTACATCTCATTGCTATCACATAAATAAACGCAAGAGATTGGGCATACCTTGAAAGACTTGATGGAAGAAAAACCATCTTGAGTTCTTTGATAGTCGTATCTAGAGAAAGATCCTTTGAGCTTAGCACCAGTGTGTCTGATATCCAGTGTCTCCTCCACAGCAATGTTACCCCAGTGTGAGATCTCAATGACTCGTTCAAGCTGAGTGACAGTCAGGAATGGACTGTTGTTTTCATAGTGCACTTTCAGGTTATCCTATGAAGCAAAAGTAGTACAATATTATAAGGAAGCTTTGTACAAAATTTCCAGTTTCAATTTTGTCCAAAGTAAAACATGTAGTATTGCATTAATGTGCACATATTCCACGATAGATCAAACCACCCAAGTGTGACTTTATGCTATAACACGATTCACAAGTACATATCAAACAATATTGAATTGTACAATGAATGAGGCACAACTTACCTTGCCTTTGCTGAATGGACGGATACGTTCATACGGCCCGTATGTGATGGTATCATCACTGGCAGAGACTGGACTCAGTTTACTGTACGATTCAACATTTGAAGAAGATAGTTTCACATTGGTGGTTTGCTCCGAAACTGGATATGGTGAATAGAAATAGTAATTGCTGGTGAACTCCACTAGTTGTTTCTCATCTTGGCTTATCTGAGATGGGAAGGCACGTAGTACATGGGTGAAGATTTCTTCCACGTTAACATCAAGGGACTGGCCAGCACCCAGTGGATCTTCTAAAGATACACTGTAAAACTGTATATCACTGTAAAATACATGTAACACATTAAATACTGTCTGAAAAATTAGTTGTACACCCATTGCGGGTTTCCGTTTTACACAACTTTTTTTGTCACTTCCATTTATCCATCATATTCAGTATCTAATACAACTGCTAAAAAAATTCTCTAAATATTTTTTTGCTATAACACTAAGATCTTGTTCAATCTAAGGTAGCAGGAATTTAAACTGCATGGGTTGTGTGAAGACACTTGGACCAAATCTGTAAATTGCCAAAACGCAGAGTAAAATTAAATCAGCATATGACTAATTTCCATAAGATCTTCTAATCCAGAAAGAGAAGAGGAGAAGGGGGTTTCCCCAGCCTCCATGTGCCAGGAAGCTGCAATTTGCTCCTCGCAATTTGTTTTTTTCGGAATACCTATCTTTACTGGTATATTAATCATATACTAGTATTCATTTATCTCCCATCCTAATGGCTCCTGCCTTGGTTTGACTTGTATTTAATTTTGTATGTCTAGGTTCTTGATTTTTATGGTAGTAGCTAAGAGCCCGCTTTGCTCCTTAACTTCACCTCTTACTTCTATTCCTAATTACCTGTGTCCAGCAACTTTGACAGCTTCCACATCTAGATGCTCAGTTTCATCGTCGGATTTGATCTACAATATTATAACACACACGTAAGATGCATTATGACAATGAAATACACCATTTCCATACATGCAGGTATCATTATCAACAATAATGTTTAAATGACATAAATCTGTCTATGGGGAGAGTGTTGATACCATTTTGATCAGAAGTCATTTCGTCAATAAACAAATATTTGTTTACAGTTGTGCTATATTCCAACAAATAACTTCACAACCAAATTGGTCAAACATTGCTTACATTTCATCATTTTTGCGTCACACTTTATAGCTAGAAGGCGTGACTAGATATAGTAAATTTATGTTGTGAAAGGGGTTAGTGATGCAAATTATTGAAAAAATATTGATACAGAAAAAATACATCAAGCTACTAGGTAGACCAGAAACAACGCTTTATAACACCACACTCTACCAACCCCCATGATGTGAATGAAACAATGCAACAGAAATAATGTGAAACTTCCAATCACTGAAAGATGCAGGCGAGATATTGCACGGTGATTAGTCCAGCAACTGAACGCAAAAATACACCCAGTCTGCAAGTTGTACACGTGAATAATATCGAACCCGGAAGTGCCCTACGAATACGGGGATCATACTCGAAATATCTATTTACAGGGACTACAATAATAAAGTCGTACGCTTCGCTCACCGTTGCACCCACAAATGCAAGATTATTTGCAAGAAGTGGTTCAGTTGCGAGTAAAAACGATTTTACTGGAGCATTGGCGTTGTTGATCAAGTTGATAGCTGTTGTCTGCTTCACCAGCTGGGAGGCCATGTCCAGGGTCCTTTCCGCCTTCATAATAATCAAATCATTATTAACACTGCCTTGTTTTGCACTTGTAGACAAAGACAACAAACATATGCAGACAGTCAGCTGCAAAAAAGTACGATACATGGTGAATTGTTGCCGATGATAGTGGATTTCGGTCCACTATTCGAACAGCTAATTCAGCAGCAAACAATGGCCGCCAGAGAAGAGACCCATGGTTCTTTGCAGCGAAGCCACGTCAGCCAAGCTGACTATCTGTAGTATGGCTGCTTTTGTTATGTTTGCTTCGCTATGATCGGGATCTTACGATGGAAACAGGTGCGATGGAAATTTGAAGTGTGGCACTGTCCTGCCAAAACAACATATTTTTACGCATATTTTTATGAAAATTACATACAATAACAACAATGTGGTATTTAATGTTGCACAACTCCATAGCCGATTTTTCTGTATTCAGAATCAATATGAAAAAAATAAGATCTTTGTTATTGTTGGTGTGTGTGTGTGTGTGTGGCGGGGTGGGGGATTCGTTTACTCTTCTTTTTTTAGGTTAATTTGTTTTATATTTATTTTTCTATCAATCATTAATTGCTAAGCATGTTGGTTTTTGTCTGGTTGGTGGGGGAAGAATAAAAAAAATAATAATACAAATAATAATAATTAATAAAATTTATTTTATAATTAATAAAATAAAAAAGGTAAATAAACTGACACCCACCTAGTCTGGTCCTACACCCACCCACCCCAACCAGTCGCCATCTACACATTAGGTTTGCGGTCATTACTGTTTGCGTTCAGTTATCGAAAAGTGAGAAAACACGGTCGTACAATAAATATAGTTCGCTCTCGCACTTTTTCGCATCCGATCAGAAATAATAAAAAAAAAAACTACCAATCCACAAACATAAACACTTTGCTAGGATATTATCTTTAACAATGCATTATTTCAGACACGACATCGTGGTATATGCATGATTACAAATGTAACATTATATGTAAATATTTTATTGTCAAGTGAGAGTGGAAAATGAACAAAATTACCATTTTGTGTTGATTAGAATTTTTTTCTACTAGTATTTCAAACAATGTTTTGTGGTGAAATGCCATAACATCGACTTCAGCGAGAGCTTTCTCATTCAAAGTACAAAAAAGTGAGGTAAGTTTGATCACATCATTACGAAATTTTAGTTGAACACTTTGGGCGGCTATTGTACACAATTATTTTTACCGACGAGGGCGTTGTTTATTATCCTCGGATTTTCATATACAACTTAGAGGGGTTGGCAAGGGGTAATAATAATAATTTATAATAATGTAATTTAAATCAATAAAATAATTTTATTCGTCCGTAATTTGCACAAAGACATTTTTTTGTAAGCGTATAAAGCATTTTCCAAATTAAATGTCGTAATTTGTACGCAATTTCCAATTTTGGTTTATAAACTCAAATTATTAAAAATAATATAAAAATGTAAAATGTAATTAGGAATTTGCTTTATCTGTAAAGTGTAAAAAACCTAAAATGTAAATGGAGTTTTCATTTTATTTCCTGTAAAAACGTAAAACGCCGTTTTTATATCCTGCAACCTGTACCACCTATTTCCCCTTGCCCCCCGGAACTTACAAGATGGATATATACATATATTCAATCCAGAGTTATGGGAAAACCTGAATTGTAATTGCATATTACAGCGTATGACACAATGGGAGTGTGTACAAATCCTCAGCTGTCGCTGGGTTGATGTGGCTTGTTAGCTTGTGTATATATCTGATAGCGTCGCTTATGTGTGTGCGTCGAATACGAACACAACCTTCAGCACCATCAATGTCGTGCCTGAAACCTCATTGACGGTGCTGAACATTACGTTGCATGGAACGTTAACTTCAATTCATGACGCATGCGTTGTTGAATACGGAAAAAAAACACGAAGCATGCGCACTGCGTACACAATATGCTAATAACTTTTAATGAGGTTATGACGTAGACATATCTCATGAATATTATTTGAAAATGAAATTATTAATAGAAAGCATTTAGTATGAAACGCCGGAATCACGTATATTCGGTCTTGACTTCCCACTCTGTCTATTGTGGTTATTTGAAGACTGTAAACGCTTTCCATTATACTAAACTGGTCACCAAATGTAACAACTGTTTCTGCGGTTTACACTCAAATCTACATGAGCTCAAGCTTCAATAGGTTTCGATTGTATACAGCGCCACCAGTGGCTGTTCCCGGCTCCATGCGTCCAGTTTTAGTGCAAGTCCAAGTACGTTTGTTTTTCGAGTAGCTCAAAATGATCTTTAATTACCACAACTTTTTTTGAAAGTTATTTTCGAATACCTATTTTATTAACACAAAATTGATAATAACTGCCAAATTGACTCTACTCACTTGGATTTTTCCAAGGCGTTCGACTTGGTTTGTGGTAATTTATAACTATGGTTTCAATCCTGTTTGCATTGAAGACGCCAGAAGTAATTTGGAGTGGCCATGTCTCCGACTGGTGCGGAGTTACTTTTGGGTTCTCTCAGGGGCCATTTTGGGGCCATTATTGTTCATGATGTATGTCAATGACCCCCCAAGCTGCGTTTAGAATTCTACAGTTTGCACGTTATTTTGCTTATGATTCGAAACTGTACACATCTGATTGTATTAAGCTTCATAAATATCTTGATCGTGTATTTGGTTGGAGTTCTAGCTGGCAACTAAACATTTACTTCAGTAAATGTAATGTCATGACTCTTTAGCATTAAGCGTAATTCAATTATACAGTATCTCATATATTAAAATTCGGAGTATACGTGATTTAGGTGTTTTATTAACGAGTAAACTTCATTTTAGAGATTATATAAACACTTGTGTAAGCATGGCTTTTAAAATCTTAGGTTTTCTAAAACGAATATGTGAATCTTTTGGTAGTGCCCGACTTATTAAAACCAATTATGGTATCAACGGAAAAATGTATGTAATTTTACAAAGTATTTATAAAGATGTCAAATCATGTGTTCGTAAAGGAGGGGTCACTTCGAGATTCTTTGAATTAAAGAATGGGGTTCGACAAGGGTGCATGATTAGCCCTATTTTATTCTCATTTTACATTAATGAGCTACAAAGCATGTTGGATGAATCTGAGTATAGAGGAATACAATTGATCCCGAACGACATGTTAGAGTTGTTTTCATTATAATTGTATGCTGACAACATTGCTTTATTTTCAAAATCTGTCTTGGGCTTGAAAGGACTAATAAGTATATTGTATGAGTTTACAAACAAGTGGGATCTAAATATCAACTTAAATAAAACTAAAATGGTAGTATACAGAAATGGGGGATATCTCAGTAAATATGAAAAGTGGTACTTCGAGAACAAGCAAATTAGTACTGTTAGTTCATACGAATACCTGGGGTTGGTTTTGTCATATAAATGCTCTTTAATATTACCACAGAAAATTTAGCTATAAAAAGCAAAAAGAAATTGATTGCAATCAAAAGATACTTAAGAAATATGCAATGTTTTAAAGCAGACTTGTATTTTAAGATTTTTGACACCTTAATTCAACCTGTACTTACATATGGGTCTAAAATCTGGAGATATGGTCAATATCAACATTTAGAAAGTGTACATACATCATATTGTAGGAAATACCTCGGTGTAGGTAAAAATGCTCCAACTTGTACAGTATTAGGGGATTGTGGGAGGCTACTCTTATTTTGTTACTATGTTAAAAGATGTGCGAAATATTGGTTATAAATTACTAGCATGGATGAAAACAGATTACCCCAAAAAGGTTACCGGATGCTACTTTCACTGGAAGAAAAGGAACAAAGGCCACATAAATTATAGAATTGCTATTTAAATATGGATTTGGTTATGTCTAGTTTAATCAAGGGGTGGGGGACTCTTATATGTTCTTGTACAAATATTGTGAACGGATCAAGGATATTGGATTTACAGAATGGTATATAGACATTTGTTCTGGAGAAAAAACGCAGTATTATAGGCAATACAAAACAAATTTTGGGATTGAAAACTATGTGCCATTGCCGCAATTAAAATTGCGCAGAGCAATAGCAAAATTAAGATGTGCGTGCCATCCCTTAGAAATAGAAAGAGGCAGACATAATAATATCCCTAGGGAAGGCCATATTTGTCATTTATGCCTGCAAGAAATTGATGATGAATATCATTTTTTACTAAAATGCACTGCATGGGACACAATCAGGAAAAAGTATCTGCGAAATGAGACACAGCCCCCAAATTTGAATACTCTAGTATAACTATTAAGTTCCTCTAAAAGCCAAATCATTAACTCTTTGGCTCTATTTATTTATAAGTGTTTTTTAATCAAAGATCAAATGAGAATAACCTAATAAGCTTGTATGTAAATATCCCCATCACATTATATATCTTCATCTATATTTTCATGCACATTTTGTAATGTAAATTTATTTCTTGTCAATAATTAATTTGTATGATTGTAATGGGCCGAAGGCCATTATACAATTAATAAAATTATATTTATATGTATTTGTTTATTTGGACAATTTCTGTCTAATCTTCAATATGGTGGGACAAGCTGGGGGACAAATCCGAGACGGTGGTTATAAATTGGACCTCATCCTTTGGTTTAGGACGGCGTTACATTGACTTATACCTAGGCCTCTGGAAAACATTTGCACTAATTCCAAGGATCTAGTGGTTTGGTTTAAATTATGTTTTAAATGTTTGTTTTTATATTCATTTTTTCATTACGTCTGCATTCAAAACGAGTTTAATATTTGTCATATTTGAACAGGTTGTGGTTTACCCCCACCCCACCGAGTCATTATCTCTCCAATCTCCAATGTGTGTGAAATAAAAACACGCTTTATAAATTGGGTATAGCCATGTATAACATATACTTTTTGGTGTACGAAATTTGATGAACTATAATGATCAGTGCATGTTAATCGTGGTATGTGCGTATATTTTAGCGTCGATGGCAATGTTTATGTCAAAATGTGTATATAATTAATTATTTAATTAAGCTTGAAAGTTGTTTCCAGAAACCACAATGAAAACCCATTTAACAACCAATAAAAATGTTGATAATGTAAATTTGTAATACTTGTCATTAATAAGTACAGTGTAATACACAATATACCCTTTTATTTTTAAGCCTATAATACCGAGTAAAATTGGGATTGAGACATAATTGTGTATGGAAACAACGGTAAAATTGAATCCAACAAATAAGCCATTCTATTTTCACTATCCACGTGCACCACGACTCCTTATTAGTATTTCGCTGGCTTTATCCCAACTCAAATCTGTGTAGATGTTGAAAGGGGATCATAAATACTTACCCTTGTCTCAAAAGTCGTCTCTTCACCATTATCTACATCAAAAGCCGTCTCTTCACCAGTATTTAAATCAGACGCGTACCCAAACCATTAATGATTACCAGTGCTAGAACGTGGCGCATCATGCTGCTTGTAGCTGGAAGAGTACGAGACCGTAGCTGTCTTGAGACGATGATAGTTGATGAAAAAGACTATGTTCGACTACATGGTATTTATCATCATCATTATTGTTTATATAATTGAATCGTGATAAATATCTCGTAAAATAAATTTAAAAAACGACTAGGATTCTTTCTGTGACATCCCGAGACCACGATTTTTTAATTATATGTATCTATCGGTAAATTTGGAATACACGCATATTAGAGATTTGAGTATTTCATTCAACTGAACGAACACCATGCTACTTATTTGTTTCAAAAGTATAAATTCATTAATACTGGGAATAACTTATGACTGTTGCCATTCCTTTCCTTCATCATTTTTGGCTCAGATAATTCTTCTCTGAATGCTTGAATAACTTGATTAAAAAGTACAAGCAAAATATGTGTCTTTAAGGAAAACACATAATACCAGTATGGCTCGTTATTTCGCATCAAAGTCACATTGTGTTCAATTTATGTACCAATCTATAGAGAAGATGTGTGATTTTGATGCATTTTAAGCATTTAAATGGCTGTTCTTCGGCCATCTTTATTTAAATCATGAAACAAATTCATAAACATGTGTATGATATATGTGAAGTCTGATCTTGATCGGCCCAAGCATGTGTGAGATATTGCTGGATAAGGACGGACAGATGGGCCGACAGATGCACAGAGGTCAATCCGCATGGTCGAGTAACTGCACAGTTTTGTTTAGGGGATTACTATTTTATTATTGTTCATTCCAATCAATGACACACTATTAAAACACCATTAACTAACAAAGTATGTTGTGTTTCGTTATCGCGGCGTTGACACGAACTGTAAAGTTGTGCGGGTATGTATATCTGTATACTTTGACGCACCAGAAATAAAATGTACATTCGACATTGACGTCATCATGTACATTTTGTAAAATAGAAAATAGTGTACGTAAGTTGCGTCTTTTCAGCAACAGTTAAGTTTATTATTGCAAGCCTATTCTAAATGGTCTAATTACAGATTATTGAAATTTGTCTTATTGTGCCAATGACCCACATTTCATTTACCTAAACACAATAGGGTTATATTGAACGATTTGCCATTTTACTCAGATAATCAGGCACGGATAATTAAATACGTCCATTGAAAGAATAATTTGATTAGATAAATTGTCGATGATGAAATAACCGATTATCATGCTCAGACTTCGAAGGCTTATAAAATACGCCTGTTGTTGTTTATGCCATCTATTTTTAATATACACAAACCTATGCACAGCGACCATCCAAGTGATTTCATTAAAATGATCTTTATGATGGAGGTTGGATTTTTTTATGGATCGTCAACTCATACTGCAATGACATAATGCAATGTATTTGTGTAGAGAATAATGAGATGGACAGGTACTGTTGCAACAACAACAACAACAACATTATTTGTGTTTATAAAAAAAAAATGAAAAGTTTGTTTTAAAGCGGGAGGGTCGTCACCTGCGCACGCGAGGGAATTGAGTCCCAAGCGAAGATAACAACACACGCTAATAACGCAAAGACTCATGGGTAGACGCTTGTTTGTAAACAATGACTCGCTGTGGCCACCTGGCGCATGCGCAGGTGACGACTTCTCTGCTTTAACCGATTTATATTGTACAAGGCTGGTCTATTTAATAAAACAGTGAAATTTACAACACGTGACATTTACTTTCATATTGGCTTACTAACTATTCGAGCTAATACACTGTCGCTATTTATATTTACATTTATAGTTGTTTACAATCTTCGCAAAAATACAAATATAACTTTTTACAATCTATTTGAACTTGAAGGACTATCTTCTGTCTTGCAATAGCTGCACGTCATGATGAACAAGAAGACGATGTTGATAACGTATTTGTATAAAACCATGCATCGCAGACACTTGTAATTTGGCATAACCCCGGGGCATAACCCCCATCTGACTTTTTGTGTGACGTAATTTATCACACGTTATATACATATGCACGCAGTAACCACATGAATCTTCACAAGTGTGGGTATTGGACGGTTACCAATTCCAATTGTTACATTTGAAGATATGAGGAAGCAAAAAAAATAAAATGGCACCAGACATGTGATTATAACATTAGTTCAGGGTGGATTCTGGAAATCATCCCATGTAAGTGTAAAAAATGTTTCAGCTGCTGTAGGTGGCAGATCGAATCTGGGATGTGATTTGCTTTGCGAGGTAAACAGACAACGGGATAAGTTCATGTACTACAACCATAACCAATTTGCTACGGGATCTCCCTTTGTTGATGTTTGTCCCTGCAACTTGTCTGTCGATGTAGCAGTTAGAATGACACATAACACTTCTATGTGAAGATATTCTACTACTTCAGGCCAACTGACAGCTACCATATTAGCCTGTTTTAAGCAGTCTGATTCAATAAGGGCTACTAGATATCTTTCGTTCTGCTTTTTCACTACATAGATTTCCAAAATGCACAATTGTAGTTGTGTTGCTTCTACTTGGAATTTAAATATTCCCATAGGGCATTTGTTCAGAAAATCCTTTAGTATGTGTGTAAATAAGTTGTCTATGAGTGAGCTACGTATTTTAGTATTAAGTTTAATAAAACATTGCAGAGATTTTAGTGTTTAATCTTCATACACTTTAAGTTGAAGAAAAACCTGTGTACTGTGTCATTTTTATTATATTCAACTAATTTAAAAATAGTAAACTAATCATCTTTCTGATTGCTTGTCTTCTAATAGTGTGCGTCGGGCATCTCCATCACGTAAATAATTTCAACGAAATAGTAACTACTCGACCCTTATTTTTCATGTCAGTATTTATGTGATTATTATCTTTGCACAAGGTAAATTTGCCATGTTAGTGTTTTGCGTTCTGCTCATTAATTTGCATAATGTGGACCAAATATTTTTCCTAAATTAATCTGGCTGCTACTATTAGATGTTTTCAATACTATGAGTGTCCATGACCAGATGTTATTGTTTCTATGTCAACAGTGAAATGACAGTTTGTTTTGATTAGGAATTTGGCACTCTCAGTAAGTCTTGGCTACCAAAAAAAAACTGCCATGGTAATAATGATTCATTTTCTCACCGGACATCAGCAATATGCTGGTATTTTTTACAAATGAAATATTTCAGTAAAATGGCTCAAATCGTTTTCTGTTAAATTTACTGTTTTACATCCTGGATATAGCAAATAATTAAAAATGTTCCATGAGATTAGTTGCATATTCTACATGAGCAATCCCTTGGTAACTTATGTATCTTGAAGACTTTTCTTTTAAAGTGAGGAAAAGTAGCGCGCCGTTGACCTCACTCTCTCATTCGAGACCATCGAAATCCAGTGGCAAGACAAGGCGAGACAGCTGGAAACAGAAATAGATGCAGTGAATGACCCATATGTCTTTGTGTACAAGTGGTATACATACATAGTATATCTAATTAAATGATAAGTACAACTAGTATACAGAGATGGGTTATGGCTCAGAAAATTGCTCATTTCTTGAAACAATCTTTTTTAGGTATTTACCCCACTTCCTATTATGCGAGTTTAATTTGCCATTTTTGTTAGCAATAATATATTCAATGTATTGAATCTCCTGAATAAAATTTTTAAAATGTGTAAAATTAGGATTTTGCTTTTTCCTTCTACATGTATAAATATTTTTTTCCCACAAATTATTAGGAAGTTCAGTAGTAATGAATAATCCTCGTTTCCAAGAAAAATATCTTTGTTTGACAATGATCTCAATCTGAGGCCAATATGAATACCCCATTTATAATTAAAGTTTTCCCAAAATGCCCTAGTATTACATTATGTGGCGATATACATTTGTAAAGAAGCAAAAACTATAAAATCTGCTAATAGTAACATAATGACCTGTAAAGTCATGGAACTTTGAGTAAAGCTTTGATAACTTTGTTTAATAAGCGCGTGTAACGTTCTCTGACAATACTAGTAATGTTTTGTGGTCACTGAAAAGGAAACATACTAGCGCCCTCGCACTGTTTAGACGATAAATCATAGCATTGTACGCATGCGTAGTTGTATAGTCGCCATATTGAAAATCAAGATGTCGCTGGCGAGTTGGTGCCGTGTTTCTGCTCACTTAGCTCGCGTAAGTAATAACTGGCCTCGTACTGGGTTTAATGTGTGAACAAGTTGTTATATAGAAATGCATTGTGTCAGTCAGTAGTAGATTGATTTAGGACGACTTGCAGAATTACGATATTCCACTAGTACTAAACTTGCTTGGTACATATTCCATCAGATGTCCACTGCAACTTGTGCAATTTCAGTACACTGTATTAAAGTCGATTCAAGTTTCTAGTATGTGCTATGTTATGTAACTTGTAAACGTACTCTGTGAGTCATTTGCTATATGATATCCGTTATCGACTGTTGTACCGCACACACTTTATACGTAATGTGGTGACATCGATCGTCACGCCACAGTGTCATCACCGTGATGAACAATTTTACAGTGATAAGTGTTTTAATACTTAGATTCGACAGTATATTGATATATGCAAAATTACTAAGTAATATGTAATTAACCCCAAATATTATTGAACTGTTGATATTCATATTAAAAGGAAATGTACAACATGTGCAGGTACATTATCATTATAACCTATATATAGGGTCAAAAATGATTACTGTAAGGTCTCCTGAGGTCATGGTAATGGGTTCGGATTGTGTGAGAACGCTACCTTGATTGTAGCCGTAGTTTCTATTACTTTGGGTGTTGATAGATCTTAGGCTTTGTCCGTTAGTGTACATGGCAGTGTTGGTGTCAGACTGGACCCTAATGCCGCGGTGCAATCCTGTTTGCGTATTGGTAAAAGTGGAGGGAATGTGTAACCTGTTATTGAGATGCAAACAAAAGTGGCCGACTGGTGGCCATTTTTGTTTTTATTTAAGTTCACACATTTACCAATTCATGGCTAATATATTGCTTGATTCAGTTGAAAGTTTGCACACTTATTTTTAGGTAATGCCGTAAATTGTGTTATTTTGTTATTTCATCAAACTTGTCAAATTGACAGCGATTTTGTCTAAAATAAGATTGTAGTCTGTCATCTCTCACCAATGAATATAATCACCACATTTTGTTAGTCATACTGCATTGAAATTGACATACAAATCATGCATTGAGCTCTTTGGTAGATATTTACATGTGACTTAAAACTGAGATTGACTGCCGGTAAAACTGTGCAATGCCAATTCTTGTTTCTATTCATTATACAGGCTCATCGTAGACATTTTTTAAAAGGCCATTTGCCTTTGATAGGAATTGCCAATAGTAGGTGTTTTTCAGAAGCTAAAAGTGAAGTAGATCTCTGTGTCATCGGTTCGGGACCTGGTGGATATGTTGCTGCAATCAAAGCTGCACAGTTGGGAATGAAAGTAAGCAAAATATATTTGTTTTTTAATGTACATGCTATGCATGATAAGTGTCATCTGAAAGAACACTGTATAACCAATGGACTGAGAGATTATTCGATAGTAAATTATGTCTTGTCCCTTTCAATGTAGGACCACTGATGTATACCTGCCAGTATACATGTACATGCCATCATCTGTACAAATCACATTCAAATCTCATAGTATCAACAACCAACCAGAACTAGCATTATAACAACATAGCCTGTTTTAAAAGCATGCTCTAGCTGTGTTGTGCCAGCCATTCAACACAGTTCAGAGAATTAGGTCAAGTATTGCAGTGTCAGGTCAACTAAGTAGTGCATTAAACAAACATGTCTGATATCATTTTGTATCAAGTGTTCGCGTACTATGAAAAACTATTGGTTACAATGAGAATATGTTAAATCTTTTCGTAACAAACCAAGACACTGATATTTTGTGTGATATTATAATCATGAGTAATAATCAACTCAAAAACATGCAAGTAATACGAGCGTTACTGGTTTAAACATCTGTGAATTATTTGCTACTTAACCAATTTGTTTTTCTTTCAAAATTTAATTGTTCTAAAATTTCATTTATAAACTCAATTAAAACCAATGCATATTATCACATTAAAAGTATTTTTTGTTATCATGTGAAAAGGAAAAGCTTAAAAAAAAAAAACTAATCTGTTTTCTTATTTTTCTTTTGATAGACTGTTTGTGTTGAGAAGAATGCAACTCTTGGAGGCACATGTTTAAATGTAGGATGTATTCCGTCAAAAGCATTATTAAATAATTCACATTTCTATCATCTAGTCCATTCTGGCGATTTTAAAAATAGGGGTATTGAAAGTAAGTAACTGATGTCTTCAAGTATATTACTTCAAGTGTTAGCCTTGTCCCCAGAGTAAAGATATTCTTTGTCTGCATGATTAGCATTAGAACAAAGTATATGGTACTCCCAATTTTATTATTAGTTTTTTTTCATGTATTAGGTATGCATGTGGTCGCACGCCTACCAAAGATTTGTGTTGTTGCTGGGAATTCGTTTTTATTTCCACTGAAGTTAAATTTTGTGTGTGTTGATTCTGATAATATCTGGTAATTTATTGATATTAATTTCAAGAATAGTGATATGAATTTTCATCTTTTCAAGCTGGTCAGTATGTTTAAGTAGTTTGTTTCAACCCAATTATGTCTTGTTTGGCATTTCCGGAATTGTTCTTTTAAACTTTTTTGTTGTTAGACATTTAATCGCTCTGAGTGAATTTTTCATTTTTTCTAAATATCACAGCTGGAGATTTGAAACTGAATTTAGACAAAATGATGGAGCAGAAGGCTGGTGCTGTGACGGCATTAACTGGCGGCATTGCTCATTTGTTTAAACAGAACAAAGTAAGTGAATGTTTCAGTAGCGATAACAGGCAATTATCATGTGTACAGGGTATTGGTGGTATATCAAATATAAAAATTTAATTTGTGTAATGTAGTAGTTTCCATGTAGCACATGTTTGAATTTTGTGTATTAAAACAAAGTATATTTCACGCATGTCGTATACAACATTATAGGCCCCATATTGATCACTACTTTGCTCAGTGACCACTGTGATTTAATGTTCTGATGTACAATGTATTTTTTAATAAGATATGTATGAAGATAATTTTGTTTACCTAGGTAACCCGTCTAAGTGGGTATGGTCGAATCACAGGCCCCAATGAAGTTGCAGTATTTGATACAACACAACATCACGTCAAAGAAGTAGTGAAAGCAAAGAATATTCTCATAGCTACTGGATCAGAAGTAACACCGTTTCCTGGCATTGAGGTCTGTAACTTGCTTGGTACATATTGGATTGTTTCAGCCTTGTTAACATTTACATACTGTTATTATGAATGTATCTAAATCACGCATTTTTACCATACTGGAACTGTATCTCAATCAGTATAGATGGATTATGTTTATACATACGTTAAGCATCATGGTACTTTGATGCACATCATTTTATTTTTCTTATTAAGCTCAAAATAACCGACTGGTAGCAAGCACTTTTGAATCCATATATTCGATATGCCTGGACTGATTAAGTTTAGACTTTACGCATACATCCAACATATTGGATATGCACATGAAAAATGAATGATGGCTATTTTAATGTCAGAAATGCATCAAAATTGCACATTTTCACCATTCTGAAACCAGATTATGACTCACTTTCATACATTTTTGGGTTTAAATTCACAATGGCCAACTGGTGGCCTTTTTGTTGGATCCACATCTGACATGCCAGGACTGATCAAATTCAAACTTCATCAGACATTATATCATACAAACACATATGTATTTTTGTAACCATCAAATGCAAAATATCCGACCGGCGTACTATGATCAGTACTATGATATTCATAGTTGTAAATTGCTTAAAATCAGATGATGATATTTAACCATATTCACATTGATTTTGTCCAGTGAAATATGCAGGTGTTGCCATAAGGCTACGAGCCAGGAATTTGCAACTGCCAGTCCAAAACAATTAAACTTAATGAAAATGTAGATGGTTTTGGGTATATTTTGGTAAAATTATCAAAGAACAATAGGAAAAAACAGAAAAATGGGAAAAAGTTGCCAGTCCAGGTGGGTGGACTGGTGGCTGGCTAAAACACTGGTTGCCATTAGAAATTAGAATGGACATTCTTCTAGGTCCATTAAATAGTCAGAATGGGGGTTTAATGATGTCATTTATGAGTTACTTAATTGCACTTAGTCATAGTGATGCACCTTTGAAGTTTTAAAATCCTGTAGTTTGGTATTTCTTTATCAACCACTTTGGATCCTAAAAAGCAGAATTTTGAAAAAATTTTCTATTATTCTGTTGGTAATTTATTACCAAATAGACATAATTTCTCATAGATACATCTTTTTAAAGTTTGAAATTTTGAAAAAAAATTCTCCAGGCTAATTTTGTGGAAGGTGATAAAAGTTGACTGTTGAAATTTTTGGTTAAATGTTGTTAAAAGATTATTTCTTGTCTTGTCCTATTCTACAGATTGATGAAACACAGATTATATCATCAACGGGTGCACTGTCATTAGAGAAAGTTCCTGAAAAAATGATAGTCATAGGAGCTGGAGTTATTGGGGTAGAATTGGTAAGTGTGGTGTTTGATGGTGGATATATGTCTTATATCGTGTTTAGCTCCTTTTCGTCTATAACCTCTAAATAATTGACCATACAAATCTCACATATTATTTGTTGGTCAGTTCTGAAGTATTCATTCAACAATTTAAATAAAGCACAAAAATAATAGACCATTTTCTCTTTACTGTGTGAAATGAAACGTAAACACAGGACAAAACAGGCGTCAAAACATTGCGCAAGATTCGACTAACACGAACATATATTTGGGGGTGTTTTCACGCTTATATACGCATTGATAATGTTCAATTTTGATGAAGTAGGGGTATCTCAACGCGACATTCACTTTGAAAATTCAGCATTTCGACAACTATATACAAAAAAATTCAAGCTTTATGAGCTTTATTGATCTTTGTGGCAGATATTTGGTTTGCACCTTTCAGTTATTATGTGAGGTTTTGCAATGAATGGAAAAACAGTCTATACACCATAATAACATAACCCACATTGGTGATTGGTAATTGGTGATGCTTACACTGATGTGACATCAGCGATTTGGGTTGACTGTCATTCCAGCATGTGTTCTACTGTATGCTTAGTATC